TTATTTGGGAATGCTAGGAGTTCACAGGTATAAGTTGTACCACTCGTATTCTGGTAGGTGGAATGAATGGTGAGTTGCTTTCATCACTTGGTTGGTGGTACGAAGATGAGTTCCTTCATCACATTTCATCACATTTCATCACTTGGTTGGTGGCACGAGGATGAGTTCTTTCTTCCCCTGGTTGGTGGCATGAATGGCAAGTTGCCAAATGATATTAGAGTACGGGTTGTACATTTCATCGCCTGGTTGGTGGCATGAAGGAGAGTACGGGTTGTACATTTCATCACCTGGTTGATGGCATGAAGATGAGTTCCTTCTTCACCTGGTTGGTGGCATGCGTGGCAAGTTGCCAAATGATATTACAGTACGGGTTGTACATTTCATCACCTGGTTGGTGGCATGAAAGAGAGTACATGTTGTACATTTCATCACATGGTTGGTGGCATGAGTGGCAAGTTGCCAAATGATATTAGAGTACGGGTTGTACATTTCATCACCTGGTTAGTGGCATGAAGGAGAGTACAGGTTGTACATTTCATCACCTGGTTGGTGGTATGAAGATGAGTTCCTTCTTCACATTTTATCACCTGGTTGGTGAGAATAAGGGTAAGGTGTCAAGGCATATTATAGCAAGTGTCGAAGACACAAAGTATGTTGAACCTTTTCGAAGCACAATTGGCTTATGTATGGATATGTTGGAATGTATGATGTTTATGTATGAATGTGTTGGAATGTATGATGTTTATGTATGAATGTGTTGGAATGTATAATGTTTATGTTGATTAATATGAGTGATGCTTATGAATGTTTTGCTATGTAGGAAGGGATCCATGCTTTTGATATGTGAACCATGTTGGTTGTAACACTTAGTATCACATACTTTGTGTCAAAGTACGCATGTTGAAGCTCTGAGTTGGAGTATAAGGGTAGGTCAACGTAGACCAAATGTTCCAGTGCTAAGAACATAAAAGACTCAGAAGAAGTTGTCTGAATTCCCTTTTCTTTAAATGTTTGCTGAATGGCTTGTGTGATAAAAGATCTCAAGCGGTTGAGAGTCGAAACATTTGTAATGTGTATGCCTTCTTATAATAGCATTTCCTTCAGTACCTAGTCCTCCACTTTGAAAGAGTGAGGCTTGGCCCCATAGTCATAATAGTTGACGGTACGTTCACCCCTGGTTGTCTTGATACGAACTTTTATCCCTCTTGTTGTAATGGGCTTGTTGAGAGTTAAAATCCTTCCTCTTACCAAGAGACAGATACGTTTGGTGACTTAACGAGTAGCTAAATAAGGCAGGAGATGATGCAATGGGTGTCTGAATGGCCAATATCTCCTCACTTGGTAGAACTTGACTTCCACTTCCTATTTGTTGATAGGGGTTAACCATATGGGGGTTCCCTTGGTATGTCATTGCTTCGACGGAGGCGTGGTTGTAAGCCTGTGCCATCACCTCAGAGTAAGTCTTCCAAGTGTTGGCATTGATCATGTACTTGAAGAAACAATCACGTAGGCCTACCGTGAAGGCCTTGAGGGCGGTCTTGTCATCTACCTCAGTGCAGTGAGAATACTCATGGCTGAAGCGACCGGCATACTCTCGTTATGATTCGTCCGGTTTATGGTGAATAATGTACAAGTCATCTGCCGAATTCAAGTGATCGGTCTGGAAGATGTGTTGAGAGACAAACAGTTTCCTCAATTCCTCAAATGAATCTACTATCTCAGGTGGAAGACGGCAATACCAGTTTAGAGCTCCGCCAGAGAGGGTGGATGGGAAGAGAAGACATCGTTCTTCGTCGGTGTACATCTGATATGCCATGGTGGACTCAAAAAGGTTAAGGTGTTCAATTGGGTCCTCCCTTCCAGTATAGAGTTGTAAACCAAGCTTTTGTTTTGTCTTCGCTTGAAGGGGGGTGTCACAGATCCTTTTTGTGAGAGGGCCAGGCCTAGGTTGGTTCCAGTCAGGTATCTTGGCCTGACGTTCGGCCTTCAACTTGTTTACTTCTTCAAAGAGCTGTAGGACAAGGGGGTCCTGAGTGGAGTCATGTACCATTAGAATTTTCTTTCGTAAGTCTCCATCGCCTCTTGGAAGTAGGAAAGTTTGAGCAAGGGCGTGTTGTTTTTCTTGGACTCGCCGTATTGACTTCTAGGGCTAATTTGTCGGAATACCTCCGAGTCCCCCGTACCTTCATATTCCTCTGGGACTTGTCGTTCCTTCCCTAGATTGACAGTTGGCCTGGGTCGTGGGAGGGGACCGAGTCTTTCATAAACCCTTGGGTCATTGATCTTCGAGCATATGTGGAGGGGATTCTCTCGACGTTGCTTTAGGAAGTCTCGGCAGTCACCATAAACGGCTTTCGATCATTCCAACCCTTCTGCAATGAGGTGTCTTCCTCCACTTCTTCTACTTCGGGTCGAAACATCTGGGTTGAGAGAAGTCTCATGTTGATCAATGTTTTGATAATTAGCTCGCTCCTCATTAGGGATACCCATGTCGAAGAGAGGTAACCCTCCGTGTTGGGGAGCACCCAGATGATGGTTGATGTCCACAAGGGCAACGAGCTTGCGTGTTTGAGTACGCATAGTTTCGTGGAGCGTCTCAAAGAGCTTCTCATATTGGCTCCTGGAGGACCTCATTCTTCATTGCTATCTTGTTGTTCTAAGCTTCTAGCTCATCGACTTTAGCTTGAAGAGCAACCCTCTTTCCTTCATTCTTTCGTTGCTTTGCACTAGGTGCAGGATGGGTGTTATTCTGTGTGCTGTGGCTTCCTTCGCTCCCTATGTTGGAGAGGGATGCCTGGTCAAAAGAGAGTGTACGAATGGTAAAAACCAACTTGGCAAAGATGAAGAGAGTGAGAATAAGTGTCGTTCCCACAGACGGGGCCAAATGTTGATGCACAAAATCAGTGAGGACTTTGGTACAACAGAAAGTGTTAAGTTTATAACCTTCGCTAGATTGCTCCGGTCACTAGTGTGGATAAGTATGTAAATGGATAGAGACAGGGAAGCAAACACAAGATGTACGTGGTTCACTTAGATTGGCTACGTCCACGGAGTAGAGGAGTTCTCATTAATGGTGAAGGGTTTACACAAGTACATAGGTTCAAGTTCTCATTTTGTGAGTACTAGTGAATGATTTAGTACAAATGACATTAAGAAATATTGTGAGAGAATGATCTCTATTTATAGAAGAGAGTTTCCAGTTTCATTCTGACATTGACACGTGTCGTGTTGTAATTGGCTTCTGATGTTGACACGTGTTGCGCTATGATTGGCTTCTGATGTTGACACGTGTTGCGCTATGATTGGCTTCTGATGTCGACACGTGTCGTGCTGAGATTGGCCTCCTGGTTGGAGGGAAACTCTTCTAGGTCTTTGACGGTATAACGTTGACCGATGCTCAGTAGTTTCGAGATTGGTCAAGTATAGTACAAACAAAATTAAATACAGAATTTGTTATTTTTAAACTCTCAATCATAAAAATTGAGAAATGACGCATATTTACTGGAATTTAAACTTGGGAATTGGAGGTCCCAATTCCAAGTGTTTTTTTTCCACGCAAAAATTCTAAATTTCTATGTTTATGAATCCAAACAAGGGAATTTGTGCATGTTAATTTATAAATTCTGACTTTTATCAAAATTCCAAGTTTTTTTTCCTTATCCAAATATAGTGTAAGAGAAAATTTTGAGACCAAACTCATGACTGAGATAAAATTCAAAGATAATTGGAAAGAGAGAAAGAGGAAATAAGTGAAGGAGGGAAGGACGAGAAAAAGAGAGGAGGGGGGAGTTTCCACTGGCACCCAAGCCAAAGGCTATGGCGGACAGCTACGACTTTTTTAATGTTTGTGTTTTCAGTAAAGAAAGAAAGGAGAGAGTTTTTTATTATCTCCTACATTTTAAAGTGCAACTTTAGAGAATCTAAATAGTTTATGTCCACTTGATTCTTTAATTTCAACCTCTTCGAACTTTTTTGGCAGCAAATTTCTATATAAATTTAATGGAGTGAGCTGCCGACTTTAGAGGAATTTTTGGTAAATTTGTGCAATTCGATCGAACTACTACAATGGTTTACGAGATGGGATGATGTAAAGAATTTTCATACAACGAGTATGTCATTGTTATATTGAAAGTCAAAATAATGTGTATATAGTTCAATATACAATTATAATGACATACTTGTTGCATAAATGTTCTTCTCATCATCCACGCACTACCCATAAAAGAGGTTTGAAAATAAAACGATCTCTCATACCGCTTCGCCAACATGGAAAGAAGACACAAACTCGCTAGGAAATTTCCACCAAACTTTTGTCACCGTCCAACAACGTCCCTACAGGCTCGTTGTTCCTTAATTGAGAAGGCAAGGTGAAGTCAATTCAAAATGGTCTAAACTCTTTTGGTCTGCAAAGAATATTAAAGATTGGATTAATTCGTATCTTTACAGAACAGTTTATCAATGATTCATATATACTAGTTATGAGATTGAAAAATGAATTCGTTAATCTATATTTTAAAACAATATCAAATGCCGTAAGTGTTATTGACACTTTAAAAATCTCATTCTACACTCCTTACAAATGTATTTTTCTTTTATAATATAAAAAGTTTGGAGTGTAGAATGAGATTTTTGAAATGTTAATAACAATTCCCTTTTATTTTTAAACTAATATATTTTGGTGTGAACTCATGCATTTTTATTTGTCGATGCTCTTTAATTTGTTCAATCTAAATGTTGAGAAAACAATACAAGGAAAAAAAGTAAGCACGTGAAAAAAATTACCCTAAAGAATAGAATGAATATTTAATTTAGAGCAATTGGCTAAAATGATGAAAAACTAAATTTCATCGTCAAACAGATCATACGCTTTTCATATTACTCGTTTTACACACTGACCCATCACTTTTTAAAATTGATTAATTTAGCCCTTGAATTGCCTAGAATCATTAGGACATTAATCTTCCTTGTTCTTATTATTTTCCCAAACATTTCTTTACATTGCACATACATTTGGGATTTTGCGTGTAGCACAGTAGAATAGGACTGCAGTTTGACCAAAGAAAAAGTCGATTAACACGAAGAACTCTCGAGGTAGTTGACGAGCCTGTAGTGTACAAAATACAAAAAACTAAAAGGAAAAACCGAGTCTGAAGCAAAACAATCACAGTTACAAGAAAACCAACCGACCCTTCCTCCTCCTCCTCCTCCTCCTCTGCTCTGCAAGTCACTGCTTCTCCTCTGCAGTAGGTATGTTCTGAATTTACTTTCTTTTCCAAGCTTAAAGTTTCTTTAGCTTATAAATATGGAAATGGGCAGCTCAAAATTTTCAAATTTTCATTTTCCAAGAACAAGAAAACACAAAAGATTACTTCTTTAGCTCAGTAATTAGCACCATTGTAGGCCATGGATTCTTGCCTTGCTCTGATTATTGGGTTTTGGGTTTTTGTTTGGGGCGAGGGTTTTGACCAGGTTTGACTAAAACTTGATTGCATAGAAATGGAGGGGGATGATCATGGAAGGAGAGCTTCATCTTCTGCAAAACCATCGCGTTTGTCCCCTTTAGCTGAGCCCTTTTCGTCGAACCGCTCCAATACTGCCCTTCCCCCCTTGCATACATTGACTTCAGTTGACCCCTGTGCTTCCATGCCCAAACTCTTGTCTGGTATCAACTTGGAAGATGATCCATTTCAATTGGCGTCTGTATTTTCCCATGATCTCTGTGATTTTGGTGAGAATTCTTGTTTTTCGGATTACCCATCTGTGAATGCTAGCTCGGATTTTGGTTTTATACCCTCTGCCGCGAATGAGTCCCTACTCGATTACACAGAGCATTCATCATTTGGGCACAGCCAAGCCAGTCTCTCCAGTAACAAGAGTGCTGCATTGGCTTACAAAACTTTGCTTGAACTAGGTAACTTTCATCGCCTTTGGCTCCTAAGCTTATGAAATTGAGTTTCTGCAATAACTTTGTTTTTAAGCCCTTCTTTCTTTTGGTTACTAAAAAGACGAACAGTTTCAATTCGTACATGTATAGCAACATTTTCATGTCATTTCACAATTAGAAAAACCTTGTTTTATGCATCATTTTATGATAAGAGTACTCATAGCACTTGCCCACTCTGTGGAGCTATAATCTTAGGGTGAGGTTTGAGATTTGTTATATTCTTGTTTAATGTTTATGATCGACCAAGGATAACAGATGGGTTTTGGTGACATCTTTTTTCTTTTTTTGGGCCTCGAGTAACTCGTAGAACTTTATAGCTATCACTGCGAATGTTTCCTACTTGAGTTACTTACGGCGTGTAACTTATATGAGAATGTAAATACCACAACATCAATAACAAGTAGGTTGTTTATTTAGAGTGCTTATTAAAAGCATTGCATATTACAATGTTAAGAATCATTTGAAGTTTCAGGCAATGAACTCACATCGTTTGCATTGACAACTATATAAATTTGTAGGAAAATAGTTTCTTCCTTTTTCTCCTGTGTTGTTATTCTACTTTTTTGTTAAGTAGGACAAGTCCTTGGTGTCTCGTATGGAAGAAAAAATAATCAATTGGGTGTATTAACAAATGAAAGTTACTTTTTGAGGCTACTCATGTTGTGAAATCAATGCTGTAAGAGCCTCATACATAACATGTTTCTGCACAGGAAAACCTGCTGTTACGGGATCGAAGCCCTATGTTGACAATTCTGAAATTGTTCGTGGAAAATTTAGTGATTTGAATATTGGAAGAGACAATCAATTAGATGCTGGATTATTCTCTTTTTCAGCAGTTAATTCAGGTACGTTCTCTACACCAATGCTTGAAAATTTTCTCAAACTCAGCTACCATATACTGCACCAGCAGTGACTTGGAGTGGTTGTAGTTACAAAATTGCTTTTTGCGAGAGTGGCTTAATAAAATTTGATTCTTATACAGCTAAATCTCCGGCTTTCCATTCACCTAAACATAATGCTTTTCCAGCTGTGGTCCTTGAGCCGTCAAATACCAGCACAACAGTTTCTCCCTTGTATCCTGTATTGTCAAAGAATGTGGATTTTAAAGGCAATTGTTCTGTGAACAATTATATGGATCTTCATCACCTACTCTCTGGTGAAGGCAAAGGGATCCACCGTGATGAAAGTCCCATTGATAAAGGAAACGAAGGGAGGGCTGACAAAGCTCTTTCTAGTGAGGGTATTGGTTCATTACTATCGGAAAAATCCGATCCACTAATTACTTTGACCAATACTTCTGATGATTTCAGCTTGGAACATCTTGGAGTCAAAGAAGATGTTTCTCTTGTGAGAAAATTAGATGAGAATGACTCTGATTTGGACTCACCTTGTTGGAAAGGAACCTTGGCTTCTTGGCAATCCCCATTTGGAGTTTCAAGATCGAGTTCAGACTCTGTTGAAAATGAACAAGAAACGCGTAATAGTTTGAATCCACTGGCACCACAATTTTTTCCTCGTCATGCTAAAACAGTAGTAAATTATCATGTAAGTGAGTGCGTAGGAGATGATTTCTCATCTTTCCAAAAGAGTGACTCTTCAGCTGTTGTTTCATTCTCCAAAGGGCATGAACCAGTTGATGAATCAGGATCAAAGTCTTCCATATCGGTTTATGGAATTGCCGATCAGCCTTCCAATGACAACCATCAAGTGGAAAGCGCTTATGCCCTGCCTAACTCAGAATGTGGCTCTGTGCTTAATGCATCTGTGGGACCATCCATGTTGCTGTCTACTCGTCCAAAAATAGATGTCCCAACAATACTTAATGTGATGCATGAAATGTCAGAAATGCTTGTACAAAATTGTGCAAATGATTTAGATTCACTGAACGAATATACGCCTGATGTGATCCAGCATATAATCAATAATCTTTCCATGTGCATCCAACCGAGGGCTGGAGGAAAGACTCCAATCTCTGATATAACTCTTATGAGCACTCCATACTGTCCTAATAAATCAACAGAGCTCCAACAGGTAGAAATATGTGCGTGTGTCCTTAAATGTTGTGAATCTGGTTACTGAACTTTGTTTTCCTTTTTTAAATTTTATGTTCTTACATTTGAATTCATACTCTTTTTTTTGTTGATTTTCAATCTTCAATCTTTGAAAGTATTAAACTTCCTTTACATGCCTTTATTTATCATGTTTAGTTGATTTATCATGCTTATGATGAGATTAATAATAATACTAATATTAACAATGTCCTTACAGTAATAATAATCATTATAGTTTGATCTGTGTCTGCCCTGGAGCTGGTTGACAGAAATATTTTCATCATCATATTGTATTATAACTAAGGTTTTTGGTTGCTAATGGCTATTGTGCTCTCCGTGTGTCTGTGCATCGACACAGCATGCAAGTGTGTATGTTATGTTGGTCTAAGAGCCTAAATGATGTATTTCAGTGCTCAAACTCGGGGTTTCAAGTAACAAGGACAAATGCTTTGGCTGCTCTGCATGAGCTTGATTACCAGAACTGCTACAAGGGGCGCAAGGTTAATTCTCATGTTTTTACTGAGAGAACGTTGGATTCCTGTCCTTCACGTTGTGGCATTGACACTGAGAAGAGCAATGACATCATTCAAGTATAATTTGTGATCTGATGCTATAAATTATCATATCAGTGCGTAAATGTTCTTTTTCTACTTGGAAACTGAAAGTTCACACTTGTATGCTAAGATGCAGGTTATGGGCAACATGTCGAGAGGCAATCGTCTGAACAGTGAAGAGTTAGATCCAGAAGCTCTAGTATATAAAAAATTATGGCTCGAGGCTGAAGCAGAATTACGTTCCCTGAAGTATGAAACTTGTGTCTTATACACGCAAGTGGAAATGGGCGGCCGCAAATTAGACAAATATAAGGTGAGCTTCTTCCTTTCCGTCCTGTCTTTCCGTTTTTGGTTTAATTTTGTTATTTTCTGCTGTTTCAGGTGTCAGGCAAGCTATTAGCAAGAGACATACACTAGCTCTATATGTTTTATCCTCATGCTACCGGAAGGGGCTGCTGGTGTTAGAAGCTAAAGACTCTTCACCTGTACAAATCGTACTCGGGATGCAGTATATCATAGTACTACTTGTTATAGAGTGACTTACATTTCACGTTCGCACCTTTAAAACGTGAAATGGAGAGATTCTATGTGGGTCATGTAAACTTCGAATTTTAATTACAGGTTTTGCTCTATGAATATTGATATTATCAATTTCGAATTTCAATTGGTTGATAATGCTCAAGAAATCCTGACGTTCAACATGGTCAAATTATCCCGACATTCTGATTTTACAATTGAAACTCAGCCCCTATTGATGGGAAATGTTTCTGAGATAAGGTATGTGTGACGTAAAAATAATTAAAAAAAAATATGTGAAAAGCGTACATCTTGGAGCAAATTGCATGGACCGGAACACTACAACAATACTGTATTTGTTCTATGTAATTCACTCTACTTATAATGTGTGATTTTGATTTCAACTTTAATTTAAAAACAGGCATGCTTGCGTTGTTCAGTTTTATTTAGTACAAAGTTTTGCATCGATAATAGCTTAGTTTAGTTGATTTAAGTTATTTAACCCATTAACTGTACAATAGTTTGGTTTGGTAGTATTTCTCTGATAAGTGAGATATTTTAAATTCAAACCGTAAATGATGAGTTTAGTACTATTTCCAAATTTACTAATAAATTTCTTTGCACACCCATTTTTTTATCTCTACACACCCACAAATTTGTTTTTTTATTTTTTATTGACCATTGGATTAAGTTATCAAAATACCCAACTAAAATTTAGGGAACAATTCTTAGCATTTTAAAATAAAAATAAAAAAATGAATGGATTAGGTTTTGGAGCCAAATCATTTTAGGGTGTTTGCAGCCACCACTCGACGGTAAATTTTTGAGAAGTTTGCATAAATGCCACCTGAAGTTTGATGGAGGCGCGTATTTGCCACCTGAAGTTTGATGGAGGTGCGCATTTGCCACCTGAAGAAATTATTTTGAGAATTTACGACCTAGACTTCACATTTGGTACTAATGCACCACCCACCTCCATTCCCTTAGAGACCTGTTATTCCTATCCTAATGTCTTATCTTCCTACCCATATTTTTAATTAATTACAAATTTGTTCATTTGTAAAATTACTAATAAGGACTTTAGTTACCCTTTTTTACATTACTTTTTTTTTTATAAAAAAGAAAAAAGAAAAGTTTGAACGTGAGAATATGTTTAGAAAATTTGTCTCCCTTAAACCCTAACTCATCATTCCCACCTCCCTTCATTTAGAGAAAACAAAATCATTCAGAGAAAGCAAAAGGACTGAATTTAGAAGATGACGTTTCTATGGAAGAAGTAGATGATTATGTTTCCGTTGAAGAGGTAAAAGATAATTTGTTTCCATTGAAGAGGTAAAAGATAATTTTATGTGGGTCATCTTGATTTGTCGACATTGTACAATTGAAGCATAACTCTGTGACTTTTTATTTGAATTTGCATTAGATTAGGGTGCAATTTGTTTATTAATGAGAATTTCTGGAATTGAAGCATAGCTCTGTCGACATCGTTCATTAGGTTAGAGTAAATTTGTTGCATACTGCTGTAGGCATGGTTGATTTAGAATTGAAAACCTAAACAGTGGGAGGCGTGGTTGATTTTTCATTAGCCCCGTACTTACCACAAGCACCACCTATCTCTCCCTTTTTTTTGTTTTTGTTTTATTTGAAAAAACTGGATATGCATGCAAACATGGTTCCTCTGGGATCTTCGAAGGTTGGTGTCTATTAAGATGGTGAATGTGACGATGATGATCCACCAAGGAATCTCTCTCTTTAAGTTAGAATTGAAGCCGAATTAAGCTTCAATTGTCGCATACTGCTGTCCACAGTAAATTTGTTTTTTAATGAGTTTATGACAATACAAAAAGGCATTGACCTGTAATTGAAATAAAAAAAATATGGTTCTTTTATGATGTAAATTTCTCCCACGTCAACTTGTTTATGAAGTTCATTTGGTTCTTTTATGACGTATGGTGGAATTCGTTTGCAGCTGGTAGACGAATTTGGTAATAATTCAGCATTTACACGTATGGTGGATTGTACTTGTGAATTTACCACAACTAAGGTAATATTTGCTTGACTATGCAATTGATTCACTTATGCTCTTGTATGTTTATTCATAATGTGCAATTTTGGTACGTAGTTATTCAAGAGTAGAGAATAATTAATACAATGGGCTCGAGAGTAGGAAGGTTAATGGTTTTGTTATTGTGACGTTACGATCCGATCAAGGTGGAAAAGATAACAGGAACTCTAGACTTACATTGGGTTGTGAAAGGAGTGGACAATATGTAAGTCGAATTCACAAAAAAGACATAAAGGATGAGGATAGAAGGAATTCTGGAACAAAAAAAATGTGGATGCCCGTTTCAATTAAAAGGTAAAAAACTAGCAACTAATGATGATTGGATATTGACGGTAGTTATTGGAGTGCATAATCATATAGCAGAAAGCCATTTGGAGGGTCATTTATTTGTTGGTAGATTATCGTCTGAAGAAACTTCATTATTGACTGATCTATCTAAAAGTTTGGTGCAACCAAAGGAGATTTTGACTAGAGAAATCCTGGAGCTTGACGAAAATTGAAGTTGGTAAGCAGCGCCATCATGCTGATCCATCGAACAATTCTAGATTATGTTCATAGTATTTTTTTTTCCCAGTAAACTCCTTCTTTTGATGTTTTTCTGTATTTGTCTGACTAAATTGCTCTTGGCTTGTTCCTCAAGGAATATGAATTGGGATTTTTTCTGTCTTGTTTTGCTTTAGAATTCGTGCTCTTCTTTTAAATCCACGTTTACAGTTTAG